TATTCCAGTTAGGATCTCGAGGCTTTCACGCCACCGTCAATGAATTCAAAGGACTAATGAAATTAGATGTTTTTTAGAAACAATCTTATGTGTTGAGCAAATTCTTGATAACATCCTTCCATAAGTCTTTTAAAAACAAACACCAAAGTTCAGCAATCAACCAAGCATAAATCGTCCAAACTCTTAAGATATCCCTCATCAAACTCAAGAAATACTTTGATGACTATTGTATCCAACACAATGCAATTTATGACTCATCAACGATAAAAAATAAGACCTACTAAGTTCTTCCTAAAATGATTAGTTCTGTTATCTTGTTCTTTATTATATAAACAGCGATCTTATTTCCACATGCAGCCCATACGATAAAGGTATTGAAAATCACAGGAAGCCCATGGCCAATTCCTATTTACACGGCCAAGACCATTTGAAATACCAAAATTAATAGCTGGTTCATAATAATTTTATATTTGCTTATTTTTTTGGAGGTCGATGAGAGGTTGATGAGAGGTCGATGTAAAATTACCTTCTCCTCTCCTCCTCCTCCTCCTCATCTCCTCCTCCTCCTCCACCTCCTCCTCCGTTTAGGTTTAAAAACACGTACTTTGTGATGCGTTTTGGCCTTGCATCCACAGTAGAATGCTCGAAAACGCTGAGTGTTTTCATCCAAAACGCATACCATTGAAAACGCTCTCCAGCATGGAGATATTTGTAAACGGAGACCTTTCCTACTTATTTTTGGAGTGCAGCCTCATGACTCAAAAACCCTCGAGATATAAATAGCAATGAAACAGCCGACATATTCCTTGATCTAACAAGAGAAGAAAATGAGGAATGCTTTGTTATCGTGAACCAAGATAGCGACTATGACGTAACATGCACATGTTCTATACCCCTTTTCAATACGAAGTATTTCTTGAGTTTGATGAGGGATATCTTAAGAGTTTGGACGATTTATGCTTGGTTGATTGCTGAACTTTGGCGTTTGTTTTTAAAAGACTTATGGAAGGATGTTATCAAGAATTTGCCCAACACATAAGATTGTTTCTAAAAAACATCTAATTTCATTAGTCCTTTGAATTCATTGACGGTGGCGTGAAAGCCTCGAGATCCTAACTGGAATAACGTAGCCATTGCGTTTCTCAAAGTAATTTTTTAGGTCTTGCTTGTTTGTTTGCTTGGTTGAGTTTTAGAGTTAAAAATTCAAAATCCCCGCGCTCTATAAATTGGATTGGTAAACAAAAGACTTGTCCAAACTTGCCTAACAATAAACTCATGACGTCAATTAGTCGTCATGGTAACCCGAAACGATACTCTTCCCGTCGTTTTATTAATGAATGATTAATGTGACTCGTCCTGCTCGTCACTGGCCCACCATTTTATGGTAATAAGTAATRCAAATAATTAAATCCACCGCATATATTACACATAATGCGTGACGTTATTAGAACATAATTAAATCCTCCGCAAATATACTCGAATCCACCGCAAAATTAGTAAATCCACCGCGAAAATTCGGATCGTGCGGTCCTCAAAAAATACACTCGCTGAATAAAGCTACCTATGACATCACAGATTTGATCTCTACTGATCGATTAAAATCCTCTATTCTATTAAATTTCATTGTGTTTTGACACAATAGGAAGGGATGCTTTCATGGTAACGCGTGACGGATTAGAAAATGATTAAATCCTCACCGCTCCCCACCCATCCTCACCCATCCTCACCCAAAATTAGTAAATTCTCACCGAAAATCCGGCCCGTGCCATCCCTACACTACTACTAATGGTAGTTGAGGTGCACTAGGAAGAATGAAAATATACCATAAAGTTTTATGTACAGATGATAACCGTCACCCCAATTTAATTCAAATTTTTTGGGTGCATAGAAGTGAGGATCAAGGTCACGTGACCGCATTATCTCTAAATTTTCATCCTAAAACCCTAAGCAAGTAAAGTTATGTGGCCATGCCAAATTTGGCGAGGTTTGATCAAAAAAATGACAGGAAAATAAAAATAAAATGGTTTTAGCCATAAATGACCCAGGCCTTAAAATAGTGCTTGGAAAAGGTTGCAAAATAACCGGACTTTTTTGCGCCAAACCCTAAAGTTGAATTTCCTACCAAAATCTTCTCAGTATTTTATAAGAGGAGGGTTCATTGTAAATTTTGCCATGCTAGACTTCATGCTACGGGTCTAATTTTTAATTGTCACATGCCAAGAGCTTGATCATATCGTTTTGATTAACGAGTTTTCAAATCATATCGCGAACGAGGGAGTGAGCGAGTCTCTAGCCTCTTGGATCGCGGGTTCTTAGCCTGGACTTGGCATCACATGTGAGAAGAGTTTGTTAGGTCTTTTCCTTAATTCGAGGGTTTTTCTCCCTCCTCAAAATAATCAGTTAACTCCTAAATCAATCTGTGACTTAGCCATGCCCTGCTGACTTTGATCAGCTCAGTGGTTGTTTCAGGGTTTTATCTGTGGGTTAGCCGTGCCCTGACTTAGATCAACCCAGAGATTGTTTCAAGGTTCGATCTGTGAGTTAGCCGTGCTCTAAGTTTGATCGGTCCAGAGGTTGTTTCAGGGTACCAACAAAATTTGAAGGTTTTGAAGGTACAAACCAATCGGTCAATACTAATTTTCATCATTTTTTATAACCTTTTTTTCATATTCCTTGCCTTAGCCAAAGGTAGTTATAGAAAAACCGATATATATGGTGAGTATTTTTATTACAGATTTCTAATAAAGTCAGAAGCAAAATCAAACTGCAAATTTTATATTTCTTTTTACTTGCCTTATTTTATCTTCAAAATTGTCATTGCAATCAAAACCTTAACATTGGTTATCTTCTTTCGAAAAAGAGACCATGTTTGACTTGTTCGAATTTGTGCCTGAGAAAATTTTACTGAAAAAAATTTTAATCCACTTATTGGTTCATCAGTAATTTCCCTCTATGTTGCTATAATGTCTATTTATATGATATTGCGACTACCATCTAAGGCATCTCTTGGTCCCCGCGAGACAAATGCACAGTCCCTACTCGCTTCTGTAAAGGGCTATAAAGCGTTATGGCGTCTCAATCGTTAATGAGAATAAAAGAATCATTCTCAAGAAATGGCACATGGCCTGAAACGGGAGAATATTATACCCAAATAAGAGAGTCCACATCAATAAAAGTTTTGTTATTTTCAGCAATCCGTTACCACGAATATTTTGAGACGCCTTATTTTATTTTCGTACGGGACATGCTAAGCTACTTTGCACTTCTGGTCCTCCATCTTTCCTTGTGCTTCCAACCTTCTACTCTTCACTTTATTGTCGAGGAATGGATCATCCTGGTTTTCTTCTTGGGCAGATTTATGATGGAAGTTTACCAAGCTGTGAATGGGTTCAGCAATTATCTACGGTAGGTGGTCTATCCAGCTTTATTTAGATTTCTTAACTCTTACTTTTATACCAAAATGACAATACATTTGTAACATGATCGAGTATGTCAAGTGTTGTTTTGTAGGTTGGTTTTATAATGGTTAAATTAATGTTTCTTCTACCAAAAACAATTAATTTCCGCGCTATTTACCGCTATTAGAGCGCGCGCAGAGTAACACAACTTAGCTCGCGCGCACCCATGTAATTTCAAACATAAAATCTGTTACGACGAATTGTACCATTGTAATCCCTGAAAATGGTTTGTAATGCCCGGAAGTTGGGAAATAAATTGTTTTTATTTTGGTTAAAGATTAAAAAGATTAATTTTTCCGAATTGATGGCAGTATCCACCTGCCCCGGCTACACATGAGCACAGACACATGAGCACAGCCCAGACAGCAATGTCAAATTGTTGTTCTGGACTGACACCTCTAAAATGTGCGGTGGTTCAGACT